TGTGCCTTTCTGTGTACACCCAGCATCACGGAAAGAAGCCACAACGAGTGGCTGAGGGTTGGGGTAATAGGATATTTGTGTTTAGAACTCCTCTCAAATACTCCCCACAAAGTGAAAATATCTCTTTTAACTTCCCCTTTCCCTCAAATTTCTCTTTTCACATACTGATGTATGGCTAGAATTCAAAGGAAAAATACACTGTGATCAAAACTACATATCTAAAGCAGAACTGTCAGCTACTATTATCTATTCTCACATGGGACATGTTATTTTAAGTCGATGTTGCATCAATTAAGCCCTTATGTCAGCTACAGCATAAATCATATCATCTAGTTTTCCAACCTGATCCATCAAATCACTGACATAACGTCCCAAACAAATGGTTGTTTTGTGCCTATATAAACTCACTGAAGGCAAAGGAACTAGTCTGTTTAGCAGCATATCTTTTACATAAGTGAACTCTTCCAGGTTGGAAAATTTCTCAGTAAAAACATATTAAATAAGCAATACAGAAATGGCACAGAGAATGCTTAACAGCATGATTTCTGGAGCCTTAGATTTAAGTTCAGATCTCAACTTTGCCCCTTCCAGGCTCTGTAATCTTAAGCAAGTTACTTAATTTTTCCAAGCATTAGTCTCCTCACCTGTAAAATGAAAGTAACAGGGTACCTGCTCCCCATTATTGTGAAGATTGAACAAGACAATATACATAAAGCATTCAGCACAGTGGCCAGCACGTAGTAGACATTTGAAAAATGGTGATCATGGAGACAGGGAAGAGTATGGCTCTGCAGGCAACACTGTAGAGTCATTCTGGCATAAGGTTCTCCTGGGTACCACCCATCATTGTGACAGTGCTTTGGAAAAGAAAGTCACTGCTATACAAGCCTGCGAGGGCCACTTAGAAAGTGGTTAGGCTCTGCGTGATGCTGGGTTCTACACTGGGTTCCTACCCTGCTGGATTCCAAACCAGCTCTGCCACTTATTAACCACGTGACTTTGGACAAGGTCCTTTGCCTCTCTGTACCTCAGTTTCCTCATCTGTTAAGTAAGAATAATTGTCCCTATTTTGCAGAGTTGTCATAAGCATGTTGGATAAATGCATTAAGGCATGAAATGCTTGGAACTGTTCCTGCTTCAGAGTAAACACCACATCTGTTAGCTATTGCAATGATGATGAACCAGTAGGTGTAAATCACTTGAGATGATTTCATCCCACCTAGAAGATAAGGTAGATGCAGGAGATAACTCCTGGGCCAGTACCCTGACTCTCCTGGTCTCTCTCTTGCCCCTGGTTTTCTGCTTCTACCACAGCTTTCTGCAGCCCTTTTCTTTCCTGTCCCTGCTGCTTGCCCTTCTTTTTCCCATCACCCCGAGTACTCTACGCTTTCTCCTAGACTTACAGGACATCCAAATCCCTCAGCCACTTTCTGAGTCAGTCCTGCTGTGCCAAGTGCTTGTGGGGTTGGTTGTCCTGGAAACAACATAAACCTCTCAGAATGAGGCTGGTTTGAGACATGGCTTGGAGGAGTCTAGGTTATGCAGAGCATATAATTTTCTCTTCTCTCTTTTTTTTTTTCCAGCTATGATGATGAACATATCTAATTCAGTATTAAGTATTCAAGGACCTTCCAAACATGTTTATTGCCCAGAAAGAAACCCCCTGAACAGAGAGGAAGGGAGGCTGAGGTTATTAAACCCAATCTTGCCCACAATACAATTTGTTCATGCCTCACTCTGTCTCTAGTGAGTTCATCTGACCTTTATTTTGCAGGCTGGGTAAGCCTCCCTTTCAGAATGCTGCCTGGGATCAATGAGATGGTAGGCTTTGCTCTTAGGAAGGCCTGGATTTGAATCCTAGGTCATCCTCTTGCCAGCTGTTGGACTGTGAGTGAGTCACTTACTCTCTGTGAGCCTCAGTTTTCTTATCTATAAGATGGGGATCACCTAGGGTGGTTAGGATTAAATGAGGTCATATTTGTATAGCAGCTCACTGTTCCATGGTTGGCTAGATGTGCTCTTTTTTAAAACAAAAAAGTAAGGAGAAAGACTCTGAGGCAAAGAGACATGGGTGTTACTTGGAATAAAAAAGGTTGGAAAATGACAGAATCGTGTATTTTCCCTCCCCCTCTTAACAACTGTCTTTATTAAGAGATCTTAATCGGGAAGCAAAAGAGGAAATCTGGATTATGAAATGTCAACAGTTATCTTACACAGAAGAAAAGCAGAAACGTTTTACACTTCACATTATTGACTCCAAGATTTCTGACTGGACAAAATTCCTGCACCAGCATTTTCTAATGCTGTATTTTTCCCACCCAAAATATCTTATCTGCAATAAAATTATTCCATAAAACAAGACACAGGAAAAAGATGTTCTCTGTTACTACCCAGGTATCTTGAACTGCATAAGAGAAAAAGGTGAATGGAGGGAGATTCGTTTTTTTCTTTTTTTTTTTAACGCTCTAACATCAAAAACCATAGCCAAGGCTTCTAACAGTCTTTTCAGAGAGTTTTATGGCCCTTCCTTCATGATTAATTTGGCAGCCAACCCAGGAACCAGTACATACTCCCATTAACATCTAGGAGAGGCCCCACTAACTACTGAAATGTATATTGATGCTGATACGAATAATTAGTGTCTTATGCAACTAATGTGACACCAGCTATGTGTCGGGTTCCTGACATATACAGTTTTTAACCCATGCATGAGGTAACTGAAGGACATTTGATGCCTAAAGAAGTAAAGAACTTTAATACCTTCTTGGGAAATTCTGTTTTTAGGTTTAGTTCTGCAGCTGACAAAGGGAATATTTCTGGACCAAACATTTCTCAAAAATCTCAAATGAGACACTGGGAGCTTTGTGAGAGTGGAGGGTGGGAGGAGGGAGAGGATCAGAAAAAATGACTATTGGATACTAGGCTTAGTACTTGGGTGACAAAATAATCTGTACAACAAACGCATGTCACAGGAGTTTACCTCTGTAACACACCTGAACATATACCCCTGAACCTAAAATACAAGTTTTAGAAGAATAGAAAAATAAAAAGAGAATCTTAATGCATTATATCAGGGAGTGTTCAAAAGGTCCCAGAGAAAAATGCAAAAATTATGGAAGATGTAATTTGTAAGCATGAAAATTATGGAGATATAAAAAATTTCGGCCGGGCGCGGTGGCTCAAGCCTGTAATCCCAGCACTTTGGGAGGCCGAGACGGGTGGATCACGAAGTCGAGAGATCGAGACCATCCTGGTCAACATGGTGAAACCCCGTCTCTACTAAAAATACAAAAAATTAGCTGGGCATGGTGGCACGTGCCTGTAATCCCAGCTACTCGGGAGGCTGAGGCAGGAGAATTGCCTGAACCCAGGAGGCGGAGGTTGCGGTGAGCCGAGATCGCGCCATTGCACTCCAGCCTGGGTAACAAGAGCGAAACTCCGTCTCAAAAAAAAAAAAAAAAAATTTCACTGTTTAATTCCAGGTACATTTTCTAGATTGGCTTTTATAATCTGAGAGAACTACTCTCACTAATTAAAAACCGTTTTTTAATTTAAATCCAGGTGCTTGGCAACCCTGACTTTATCATCCCCATTTTTTAGTGAGACAGCCTCACCTATTAGAAATTTAGTCTTCATATTTTTGTAATTTAGGGAGATTAAAATATGAGCATACAAGTTTTATAACAGCAATTTTCATTGCAAGATATTTTTAATTGTTTAAAAAATAAAAACTTGCAGAAATGTTTCCATTCACTTGCTCTTCTCAGGATATTAGCACAAGGGATCAGGAAAGGAATAAGTCAACATTCTTTATTACTAGTCTCATCAATTATTATTGGTGGCTGTTGCAAGGAATCTTTTATGCCTCTACGTATATGTGTGTCTTTTCCAAAGGATGTTTCAAAGTACAGCTGGCTAGAGAGATTAGCAGCTGAGGGCCCACTTATTCTCCAGTACCAATTCAGAACTTTCACCATCAAAAATACACTTCAAATCCTAACTTAGAATAAATTTGCCTTAAGAAAATGCCGGAGTAATGAACAAAGGTCAGTGCCATGAGTCAGAAACCTAGGCGTCAGAGAAGGAGTTACTCGTCCCGACTATCACACCCGTGTGACTTGGGCAATCTCGGAGCCTTCTGGGTCTGTCTCTCTTCTACAAATGAAGAAATTGGGCCAGATGACCTAAGGTCCCTCCAGCCTGAAGTCAAAATGGAAGCAGGCAGCAATGTGTGCTCTTTTACCCCTCTTACAGGTAGAATATTGCAGGCTAAAACGTGAAACCAATGAATGGCCTAAAACAAACTCACATTTGCTGTTCATTCAATTAAAAAGCTAGTCATCTGAAGGAAGCCACTACATTCAGCTCAGTTCTGAAACAATCCACTTACTAAGGTTACTGTGAGCATATCTGTGTGTACAGATGTGGCCCACGGGATGCCAAGTACTATGTGTGAATTCATATCTCGGGGAGCTTCCACAACAACACAGCACACACTCATCATCTGAATAAAGACCAACCGTGCTAAGAAAATTCAATTTTCCTGATACCACACCAGGAAGGCTAAGCTTTTTTCAGTACACTAATCTTTAAAATGGTGCATCTACCACCTCGGTGTCACATTATGCAAATTTACTAAGAATTGTGAGTGAAGAGATTTCAGCCCAATTAAAAAAAACAGATGAGGTTTTTTAAAATGTCAATTCCAAGAAGATGGCCCCAGAAATAAGCTGTAATTACTGTATTATTATATCAATTCTTTAATCACTTTTTTTCCCTTCCCTCCCAAAACAAAATAACTGAGGGGAAGGGGGATTTAAATAAAAAAATTAATAGTCTCTCCACATAACCTCTATTGGAGAGGAGTATATCTTTTGACAGAACACATTTGTGTGGCTCTTAAAAAAGATATTTCAAATCTGGAGGGAGTTAGCCTAGACCCCCACCTTCCAGACCCTGACATCTGGAATTCTCAGTCCATGAAATCAAACTGTAAGGAAGCTGGGGCTGAATAAGTATCTCCACTTTCCTAACCCCATTCCAATATTCTATGTGCTACCATGCTCTCCTATTTCAACCCAATGGATGAGCAGGAAACATTCCTAAGATGAGCAGGTAGCCAGTGGAGCTGGACCCAAGCCTCCCCAGCCCGTGGCCAGTGACACCCTTGTAAACGGCATCTCTGCTCACCTTCTTCACAAGGTAGCCCTCTCTGATCCGCTTTGGTTCCATGCTAGCTGGACAGGCAGATGCAAAGGTCACTCTCAGGCACCTCCTCTCCGCAGCTGGGCCTCCTCTGAGTGCTGAGGTGGCTGTGGGCTGCCTTTTGTACCTCGGATCGCTTTCACAATTTCCCTTCTGCTGGCGGTCGCATGATCACATCCTCTTCCCCTCACTTGGGTGGAAGATCAGAATAAGGAACTGCAGAGTAAACCACCCATTCTTTGCTAATGCTGGAGAAGACTTATTAAAACCACAGTTGGGTTGAATAGTTACCTAAGGTAAATTCTTACTACCATACAGAAAATAACTCTTTCAAAGGGAAAAAGAAGGGATTAAAGGAAGAGGAAGATGAACAAGAAAAACTTGTTGGTGGAAATTGTCCTGATTAGGGATTATTCCTGAGATCCTGGAAATGCCTAATAAAAATGCCAAGAAATTTAGAACCATCTGGTTAACATAACATAGTTAACTCCTAATTGAGTGCTGGCCAGGAGCGATGGCTCACGCCTATAATCCCAGTACTTTGGGAGGCCGAGGCAGGTGAACCACAAGGTCAGGAGTTCGAGACCAGCCTGGCCAACATGGTGAAACCCTATCTCTACTAAAAATACAAAAACTTAGTTGGGCATGGTGGTGGACACCTGTAATTCCAGCTATTTGGGAGGCTGAGGCAGAAGGATTGCTTGAACCCGAGAGGTGAAGATTGCAGTGAGCCAAGATCGTGCCACTGCACTCCAGCCCAAGTGACAGTGAGAGACTCCATCTCAAAATAGTAATTTTAATTTAAAAAATTTTTTTAAATTAATGAATGCCTACTTCTCTCTATGTCAAGCCCTGTACTATGTGTTTCTCAGCCTACCTATTTTAAATTGCATTAGGCTGCACATAGGCTGTGCATGGTAGCTCACACTTGTACTCCCAGCACTTTGGGAGGTCCAGGCAAATGGATCACTTGGGGTCAGGAGTTCAAGATTAGCCTGGCCAACGTGGTAAAACCCTATCTCTACCAAAAATACAAAAATTAGCCGGACGTGGTGGTGTGTGTCTATAATCCCAGCTGCTTGGAAGGCTGAAGCAGGAGAACTGTTTGAACCCAGGAGGTGGAGGTTGCAGTGAGCCGAAATGGTGCCACTGCACTCCAGCCTGGGGGACAGAGCAAGAATTCATCTCAAAACCAACAACAAAAATGAATCTGCATGTGAAACCCATAGGGAAAGTATATTATTTTCCTTATCTTAGGGATAAGGAAACTCAGGCTCAGAGAAGAAAAACTTGTCTTAAGTTGATGTTGCAAGTCACAGGGGAAAGCAGAAGACCAGGGAGGAACGTGCTAGGGTGCCACTGCCTCACATCAGGAATGAGAACAGGTGTTCCACACTGATGGCTGATCCCACAGTCAGCCTGTAAAAAGAAGTCCATTGTCAAACACGTTTTTAAGAAACAGTACATAATAGTCCCAGGTTGGCAACTCTTCTCAAGAACGAATTAAAGACCCTCGCCCTGCCAAAGTACTACAGCAAACAATCCTATAATGGTGTTTCCCAACACCATTTTGTTTACTTGGCCATAGAATTCTTTTTTGAATAATTTCTATGAACATTTTTTGTCATAGATTGAATTTGATCTCCCAAAAAAGAAGTCCTAACCCACAGCACCTCAGAATGCATCCTTATTTGGAAATAGGGTCATTACAGATATAATTAGTTAAGATGAGGTCATACTGGAGCAAGTGGGCCCTTACTCCAATGTGACTGCTGTCCTTATAAGAAAAGAGCACACGGAAAACAGCCATGTGACAACAGAGTGATGCGTTTACAAGCCAAGGAATGCCAAGGATGGCCAGCAACCCCCAGAAGCTGGAAGAGGCATGCAACGATTCTCTCCTAGAGCTGCCATAGAGAACATGTCACTGCTGACACCGTGATTTCAGACTTACGGCCTCCAGAACTGTGAGACAATACATTTCTGTTGTTTTACCACACCAGTTTGTGGTACTTTGTTATGGAAGCCCCAGAAAACCAATACAATTCTGAAAAGCTAATATCCCATAAAACAAATTTTGAGACACGTTAATCTGGCCATGTGAAAATGAGCAAGTTTGTTAATTACTTTGCGCCTCCGTTTTCTCATCTGCAAAATGGGAATAACACCTCTCCAATGAGGTCATTCTGAAGATTAAACAAGATACATGTGGAAGTATTTAGAAGAGTGTCTGAAACATAACAAGTGACCATAAATAACAGTTATTCCTCATCTTCAAGGCAAGTCTCCATTGTCCTAGAGCTGATGTTTTTCAATGATAAGTTCAACAGAGATGATAAAAGCAACAGTAGGGCCAGATTTTCCTCATTACACCAGTCAGTGTTCTTTCACTGCAATCAACAGATAACAACTCCGGCTAATAGAGGCAAATAGGAATTTACTGGAAGAGAATGGGGTGGACCACAGACTGAAGGAAAAATGAAGACTGGGGTCTTTGAAAGAACAAGAATCAAGGCAGTTGTGGGGCTCCAGGAAGCAAGACACCAAGATCAAAGTTTCAGACTCTGTGGTAGTCTCCAGGGATCAGGCCTCTGATTGGCATAACTTGGCCTAGTGCTCCTCTCTCAGGTGTCTGAAGGGAGAACATGTGAACCAACAGCCCCAGGAGGACCATGCTCAATGCAGGAAGGGAGGTGTCCTCTAAAGTAAAACCAAGTTGCTATTAATAGTAGAAGAGAAATGGCCCCTAGGAAGGCAAAACTGACAGACATCCACAACAGCATCGAGGAGCCAGAAAATTTAGGGGAAAGAAGAAGTTCTGTTCTTGGGGTTTCCTGAGAGCTTCCTGATTACCTCTCCTCTTCCCACCAGCTTTGTTTCTAGCCAACAGTCACTGCCCCTTATTTCCCACTTTACATTTTACACTAACATACATTACATAAACTTGTTGATGGTTTCTCATCGGTTTCTCATTGCACCAAAATTAATTAGAAATTATTATAAAGTATTGGGGACTGAGAGTAGAGGAATCAACATTTGACGGCATCTGAGCAAAACAGGAAAAAATAAAAGGGTAATTTTCTGTATCTGCATTCAAACAAGCATTTTGCTATGTCTGTACAGACAATGGAAACCACTCATAGATTTACCAAGTCTGATTTCATGGCTAAACCTATCTCCCTTTGTTTAACTGACCAAGTGACTTCTAATTTGGAATGTTTTCGTTTTCTCCGTTTTTCTTATCCTAGCATGATCAGAAGGCTTTAAATAATCCTCATTCAGAAACCTCATATTACTTTTGAATGCCTACCGTGTAAAAGCACCCCCTGCGTTCTGGATAACTCATTTCAAGAAACATAGTATTAAGTGCTTAATATGTGCCAGGCGCCGGAATAGGTGCAAGGGTAAAAATGTCTTGCCACCAAGGAACCTCCCGCATTTGTGAATCTGCGGAACGGCACCACTGATGGATTAGATGTTGCCGCCTTTACCCTTCTCCCTCCTGCCACGTGTCATGACGCCTGCTTAGCGACACCTAGTGGTCAGTGAAGAGAACTGTCTGAATCAATGACGCCGGTTAGGACTTCCTCTCAACAGTTTCAGCAAATGTTTTTCTGCTGTGTCAGATCCTCCCCCTAGATCAGATCATTAGAACCTCTTCCAATATCTTTCTTATGGATGTGTGTCTAGAATTACCTTTTTGTTTTTTTGAGACAGCGTCTTGCTCGGTTGCCCAGACTGGAGTGCAACTCACTGCACCACTCACTGCAACCTCAAGCGATCCTCCCACCTCAGCCTCCTGAGTGGCTGGGATTACATGGACGCGCCATCACGCCTAATTTTTGTACTTTTAGTAGTTTCACTATGTTGGCCAGCTGGTCTTGAACTCCTGACCTCAGGTCATCTGCTGCCTTGGCCTCCTAAAGTTCTGAGATTGTGAGTATAAGCCATCGCACTGAGCCTAGAATTACTTTTTAAAATCTCTTTCTGTACACATTTGATCAATAACCTTGGAAACATTATACTTATAGTATGTTTTATTGCTGTAAGGGAAAGTTAAGGCTTTTGAATTAGCAAAAATGATTACTGAGCATCTCCAGTGGAAAACTATCCATTCTTTACAGCACATCTTTCTAACTTACTTGTTTCTATGGAGTTTGTGCCTTTTCTTGTCTTGGAGTTATTTCAGAACTCTAGATTTTAAATAAATACAAATAATTCTTGTCTATAAACGTGCAAATAAATTCTGACTTATGGAAGTTCAGTAGACTCCACCTCACCCCACACCTTCACTCCACCCCACCTCCCGTGGAAAGAGCCAATTTTGTGTCCATTGGTAAATTAAGTTCAAAGTTACCTTACTCTATATAAATTGTTCTTTGATCTTTCCTTTGAACCAGTTGTGACCTCTGGCTAGTTTCCCCTCTAATTCATGAGTTAAATAAAATTTTGAGATGTTTTCATTCTATTATATATGAGTCATAGTTTTATTTTTTTAAAAATTATTCTTTAGCATTGGTAACTCAAAAGAGACATTAAATTTAGCTGAGAAATATCAGAACATCTCTAGTGCTAAATATAAATTAAGTAAAAGGTATCAAAACCTGTGAGAACAGTCTGAGATATTACCCTACTTGCAAGCTAACAAGTCAGACTGCCAGTTTCCTGGATGCTCACAGAAGATGCAAGACTTCTGGAGTTTTGGATGAGAAGGAACTTTGCTACTCACAGCACTGTGTAGTTTGTTTGTTAACAGTGATGGCCATGAAGGCAACTGAAGGCTGGGATCCAAGCTGTGTCTAGCAAGTCCCCAATGCTGCACTCCAGCACAAGTGAAGGCTGCCCCGGGGAAGAGGTACCTTTTTCTTGTGTACAATAGTACCCTCCTCCAGTTAAACCCTGTGCTCATGGAGTTGCACCCACCCACATATAATGAATCTAAATTTTACTCTACTTTTTATTGGGACTCAAATGATAGTGGGACAGTGAGAAAAAGGGCTCTCCAGAGAATCTCTGATCAGCCTATGCACTGGGAGGACAGGGTGGGGCCATGGGAACTTCATGCCATTTGCAGCAGAGAGAAGCCTGGTCTCCCCTATTTCTGGGTGGTAACCTGGGATTCAATCTATGAGATGGGGACCTGTTAACAGGAACCCCTCTTGCTTTGCTGAGAGAGTCTTTTTTCCTTTTTGGCCCAATAATTTCTGTAGCCCCTCACCCTTCAAAGTGTCCACATACCTGATCTTTCCTGGTTGTGTGACAAGAATCTAGTTTTTTCCTACAACAATAGGAACAGGAACAGAAGTTAACGTCAATTCTAACATTGAAATACAGAGATCTGCCTCTAGAAGGACAAGGAGTAAACAACAATAAAACTAGCCCCATGAAAAGTTGACAGCTGCAAATGCAACACATTCATAAAGGAGCTGGACCCCATATGGGACAATCATAACATCGTATTTTTCTCTCAAAATACTCCCCATTCTGACAATTAGGTTTTTCTTCTGTCCCTTGGATGAAATCTTAGGCAGGTTTCCCAGATTTCCTAATACCTTATAGCTTTAATAAAATCCAGATCAATCTAATTTCCATATAACTCTAGTTACAACACTGACCAGGCTCCAGAGAAATCCTCTCCTCAGTCTTCCCAATCTCAGTATGCAGCGGTAGCCCAGCAGTTGGCTGACCTAGTAGAACCTCTTTACCCCGTTAGCAAGTCCTATGTGAATGGTGAATGGTTTAACACAGGGGTCAGCAAATCACAGCCCACAGATGATATTCCCCTCTACCCTTTCTTTCTTGTTCATTCTTTGTCCATGAGCAAAGACTGGTTTTTCCATTATTAAATGGTTTTAAAAGTCAACAGAAGAATAACATTTTGTGACACATGAAAGTTATATGAAACTCACATTTCAGTGCCATAAATAAAGTGTTCCTGGCCGAGTATGGTGGACCATATATGGAATCCCAGCACTTTAGGAGGTCAAGGCAGGCGGATCACTTGAGGTCAGGAGACCAAGACCAGCCTGGTCAACATGGTGAAACCTCGTCTTTACTAAAAATACAAAATTTTGTCAGGCATGGTGGCACACACCTGTAATCCCAGCTACTTGGGAGGCCAAGACAGGAGAATCACTTGAACCCATGAGGCAGAGGCTGCAATGAGCTGAAATCACATCACTGCACTTTAGCCTGGGCAACAGATCAAGACCTTGTCTCTAAATAAATAAATAAGATGTGTTCTTGGAACACAGCCGTGCTTATTTGTCTCCATATTATCTATGGCCATTTTCACACTACAAAAGCAGAGTTGAGAAGTGTGAGTTGTGACAGCAATTATATGACCCACAAAGCCTAAAATACTTACTATTATGCCTTTCACAGAAAAACTGTGCTGACCCCTGGTCTAGAAACTTATTCAGAATGTAAAAGCGTTTGACAGTAGTGAGTTCCTTTCTGGTGTGGAGTTCCGGCCAAACTCCAAGATTTGGTCCGACATATGGCTACAAATTCAATAGTTCAGAAGGAGAGCAGAATGGAGATGCAGAAAACCAAACTGATAAATCAGAAAACTAGCAACAAAATTTTCACAGACTCACAGTCAGTCTATCATATATGTTTGAAGACTTTTCTAAAAGACATTTTCACGTGTTTAAGGGCTTGGAAAGTATACATGCATATACCTTTTGCACTTTTTAGAAAAAGAACTTGATGAACTAAATGAGCTAACCAAAAAATTAAGTACTCAAACTAAGCCTAATCATTTGCAGGAAGAAACGTCAGTAAGAAGCCTGTTCCCTCACACCCAGAGAATGGGATCTGGCAAAATATATATATATATATTTGGAAGTCCTTTTACAGAAGAGTTAAGTTGATTCCTACTCTTTCACGACCAGCACAGCCCAATGACTGGCCCACTCCTGTTGTAATACAAGAGGAAAGGTTTACTTCATAGAGCAATGGTTCTCAAATTCAAACATTATTGGTCTCAGAACCCTTTTATAGTTTTTTTTATTTTTATTTATTTATTATTATTTTTTTTTTTTGAGGCAGGGTCTCCCTCTGTCACCCAGCCTGGAGTGCAGTGGTGTGAGCTCGGCTCACTGCAACCTCTGCTTCCCAGGTTCAAGTGATCCTCCTGCCTCAGCCTCCTGAATAGCTGGGATTACAGGAGCCCACCACCATGCCCAGCTAATTTTTGTATTTTTAGTAGAGACGGGGTTGGTCTCAAACTCTTGACCTCAGGCAATTGGCCTGCCTCAGCCTCCCAAAATTCTGGGATTATAGGCATGAGCCACTGTGCCCAGCCTATACTCTTAAAAATTGTTGAGGGCTCCCAAGGAGCTTTGGTTTATATGAATCCTACTTATTGACATTTACCAATTAGAAATTTAAAACTGAGAAGTTTTAAAACATTCACTCATTCATTTAAAAATAACAATAACAGCCCATTACAAGTTAACACAAATAACATTTCTTGATCAAAATTGTTTTGTTTTCTAAAATAAAAATAATTGATGATGAGTTATATTGTCTTACATTTTTATAAAGCATGTTAATGTCTGTCTCAATGAATCGTAGCTGGATTCTCATAGCTGCTTCTGCGTTGGGACAGTTGTAATATGTTGCTATGGTTGAAGTAAATGAAGAAAATTTGACCTCACACAGATACGAAAAAGTAAACAGGATTTTAATAGTCTTTTGAGGTAATTGTGTATATTCTTCTTACAAACACACCAAAATTCAATGTTTCTAAAGGTTTGTCATGATGTAAATTTTAAAGCCATATCAATAAACTTTTGGTATGCTGTTATCTAAGTTATTGCTATGCCTTGCACTTGGAATAGATTTATGTTATCCCTGCACCACTTAGTAGGATCATGCATTGATCATTTGAAAAATATTGGCTCACCAAGTTATACGGATCTTCTAAATATTGATGGCTTATTCCACAATATTTTTTAATCACATTTTTAAAAATATCATCCCCAATATCATCATAATAATATTAAATTATTGGGAAACTGTCGAGATTATGGTAGCAAATACAAATTTTCAAAATTCTAATTTTCATTTGAAAGTTTGAATCATATCATTGGCAACCAACACCATTTGGCTGAATTGATGGAGTCATTTTATTTATTTTCAAGAAAATGTCTACCAAATACCCAAGTCTGAATAGCTAGATTGCCATTTCTTTTAAGCAAAAATTGTGTTTCTACAAAAAAAGTGGCTAGTTCAGTTCATGGCTTCAAGAATCACACATGTATGTTTTTCCTTTGGATATTATAATAACAGAGAGTATTATAAAGACATGCACCCAAGGGTAAAGATTTCATAAAACTAATAACTTTTGCTGCATCTTCAAGGACATTTCAAAGTTTACTTGCTTTTTTTTCCTCTCTGACTGAATCACAGTGAAAATCACACAATTTCTGCCTTGATTTGTGCTAAGGTGTCAGCAATTTTGCTCACTATTTTTTTTGCACTGTTGGTGCAAATGTTGACATCATTAAAAAATCAAATAACATCTTGGTATTATTTATGAAAATAGTTTTGACCTCTTAGACTCTTGAGTCTCAGAGCTCCTCAGGATACTTTGAAAACTGCTCATTTCAGAGATATTGAACAAGAAAGACAAGAGAGGATTCTGAGGAAACCATCACAGCTAAAAGTGAAGATAAAGTACATATTAAAACAGAGAAAGTTTGCACACCAGACAGTGAGACGGTCAGCTCACCCCCTCTTATTGGGTGGGGCATGTTGGAAGCCAGGCCAGCCTCCATCCAGCAGATGATTGGGGTACACCTTCCTCAGGAAACAACTATCAGATACAAACATTGAGAAGGTCTCCAACAAACGATCAGGTCTCTGCCCCATCAGCCACTGGGAGCAAGATAAGTTGAAAAATACCACCCAAGCACAAGTAAGACTTTTAGTGCCTTATTTCAGAACATGAATGGCACCAAAAATAACTAGGCACAAGAAGAAAACCATTAAGATGAAGCTAGAAATGAAAACAAACAAGCAAATCACAAAGAACTGTGTGAGAAGAACATTGCAAGGAGCAAAAGAAAAAAATTCATTTATTATAATTAATAACCACAGAGAGTTAACAGCATATATTGCACAGGAACTGGAAACATAATATTATATACATTCTTCTGTAATTTGTTTTTCTTACTCAATATTACATTCCTAAATTTCAAACATCACAGTTTGAACATATAGCTGTATATGTATTCACTCATTTACACCTCTGTATAGCATTCTGTTCTGTGAATATACCCAAAATTATTTATAGTTCTCCTGTGAATAGATGTCTGAGTTATTTCCAGTTCTTTGTTTTTACAAATGCTCATCCTATGAGCATTGTCCTCTTGTGCCTATGTTTTCTCATTTGTGTTGGAGATATAGTGAGGACTGGAATCATAGCGTCTTTATTTTATTTTACTTTATTTTTGAGATGGA